AACCATGTAAGCATCATCATCCTCGAACAGCACCAGCAGTAGAGAGAGCGGCAATAAACATTAATTGGGCTTCCACTGTGTCGAGCACTGTGTGAAGCCTTTTACGAGAATCCTCTATTAGGTGGATATTATGAGTCTCCCTATTATTACAGAAGACTGAGGCTTACAAATGCTAAATAACTCACCAAAAGTCACATAACCAGTCGCTGAATTGGGATTTTAACCGTCTCGTGTCAGAGCATATGCTCTTAAACCAGTAGGTAGTGATGGATTCATGCATTCAATAAATCTTCATCGAGTGCTTCTCCATGCTGGAAACTGTTCCAGGCACTGGGGTTCAGCCCTCATGGAGTTTCACATACCATTTGGGAGACACAGGCAATCAACAAGTAAAACATACAGACTGGTAAGTGAGGGGGTGATAAGTCTAGAGAGAAAAAAAACAATGGGATATAGCGGGAGAAGGAGGGAAGAGATAAAATACGGTGGCTGGAAGGCCTCAATGAGAAGGTGGCATTTGCGGAAAGGCTGAAGAAGGTGAGGAGCCAGCCAGGAAGAGGTAAAGTGGGGAAACAGCATTCCAAGCAGAGGGAACAGCAAGAGAAAAGATTCTGAGTCAGGGGGCTCCCCTGGTGGCGCAGTGGTTGAGAATCCACCTGCCAATGCAGGGGACACGGGTTCAGTCCCTGGTCCGGGAAGATCCCACATGCCGCGGAGCAACTAAGCCCCTGCACCACAACTACTGAGCCCGCGCGCCACAACTACTGAGCCCACGAGCCACAACTACTGAGCCCGCGTGCCACAACTACTGAAGCCCGCGTGCCTAGAGCCCGTGCTCCGCAACAAGAGAAGCTACCGCAACGAGAGGCCCGCGCACCGCAGAAAGGCATGGCCCCCGCTCGCCGCAACTAGAGAGAGCCCGCGCGCAGCAACGAAGACCCAACACAGCCAAAGATAAATCAATAAATAAAAGATTCTGAGTCAGCACAGGGCCCCGGAGCCCGCTGTAGGGCTATAACTCTTGGTGGTCTGAGCAGTGAGGGAGATAAATTAGGAGGTTATTATTCTGCAATATTGGGGGCTTGGGCCAGAGCGGCAGTGGCAGACGATGTGAGAGGTAGTCGGATTCTAGACGTGTTTCCAAAACAGAGTTTACAAGACCTCCCGATAAACTGGTTGTGGGGTTGTGACAAGGAGGAAGTGGGAAGGGGGGCTGAGTTTTTATTGTTTGCTGCTTGCTTGCTTGCTTGACTGACTGATTTTTACCAGGGCAACTGAAATACTGGGACCTCTAGTGGCTGAGATGCAGCCTCCGGGGAGAAGCAGGTTTGGATGAAAAAATCAGGGGTGGCTGGACATACTGAGAACAGGAGACGTCCAGATGAGGATGCAGGCTAGATGGGAGAAAAGGTCCTTGGTACAAAAGAGCACAGAGATGCTATTGAAAGTCGGGTAATCGAGGGGGACTGCATGGAGATAAAGTGAACAGGTGTGAGTTTAAACTCTGAGACTTGCAGGGTGGACAAGCCATAGCAATTACTGACTGGGAAATCCTCTCCGTTGCAAAGGAAGAAACCAAGTGAGGGCAGTTATATGATGCCATCTAAGCCACATGATAGGTTAATGATGTGCAAATTGCCTAGCTCACCATTCCTCAAAGAATACATTTTTTAGTGCCTTTTGTGGATTTGCCAGATAATTGTAGACACACCCCTCCCCAGCCCTCAAAACAGCAACATCGACATTATCCTGAAAAAGTATTGCACCCAGAGCCCAACTTGACACCTCCATGAACCAACGGATGATGAAGCCAGAGAATAAAGATGTGAAGATACTGAGACTTTTGAGTTAAATCAGTTGAATTTCTTTAAGCTTTTTGATGTTTATAGAAAAAAGTCTACAAATATTTGATTGTTTAATCACTTAAGCTGCTTGGTATCTCAACTAAAGGTGACCACTTATTTGCAACCCATCTGAATGCGGATGGTCTTAGAGTATTTCATGCCCCACTGAAAAATCACTTACATGTATATAATTTGTAAAAAACTGCATCCAATGAAAACGTTCGAGAGCTGCATAAACATTTATGCCTTTGGACACATCTAGATAGAAAGATTAAAAAAATCAATCATTCCTATATCCTTCCACCAATCCTAACTCATCTCTGATTACACCAGAGGAATAACGAAATCAGGATCAATGCTGTATGCTTTCACTGCATTTTCACAAATATTATCTTATCCAATGCTCACAGCATCACTAAAGAGTGTTCATTGTACAGATAAGAAAACTGAGGCCAAGAGAGGTCAAGGGTCATAGAGCTAACGAGTAATAGAAGGAAGATTTGTTCTCTTTTCTTCTCTTATCAAATCTGAGGGGGTCATTCCCCGGCACACCAGCTGCTTACGATGAAATGTTGTTTTCTTGTTTAATTATAAACCCTCCGAAACACGGTTCTAATCCACAGACACTTGTCTGAATTCCATTAATAAAACCACCATGTCATATCAGCTCCTCAAGGGGCTTATGAGTTGCAAAGTCAGGCCTTCACTCTGTAGTTCAATCCATGTTCAACGTGCACTAACTGAGCGCCTACTGTGTACCTAACGCAAAGCCCTCCAACTCTTTGAGACTTCCACATGCTGCTTGCTGTTCTAGGCTATCTGCAGCCTAGATTAATACCACTAACATTTCTTACTTTGGACGGAGGGTCCCTGTGCCGTTTTCCTGAAGCATTCCTCTTGATGCCTCCATTATAAAACTTTAGTTTGCGGTGCTTTCTGACAATTATGTAATCAACCTCTTCAGTTTATATAAATAAATTATATCATTAGGACACTTTTTGAAAATTAACTGGTGATAAAATCAAACTGAACAAATAAAACCAGATTTTGTTGATTATATTTTTGACGTTTTCTCTCCACGAGCAATAACCATCATTCAATAAATATTCTAAAATCTATTTGAGTGTTAACACAGACACAATGAATAAATCCTGAGAAAGTACACTTCTGGTCGGCATCCAAGATACTGTAAAATATAAAGGGATGCAAAGTAAACTATATTTCCTTTCCTTCTGCTTCAAATATCTGTCCGTAAACACTGGCACACACGGGACTATATAGTGTCAGTAATATTACAGAAAAAAGTCTCAATTACTATAAACTAGAAAGTTATGGTAACTAGACTTTCAAATAAATCACCATGTGTCACAAGTTGGCATAAACGCTGATCCTTATGAATAATTCACATTTTGTGCATTAATAATTCATGTCCTCTTTCTATTGGAATGCTCTCTAGCACAGAATGGATGTCTCTTATCAATTTCCTCAGTTGACATGATGGAGTAAATCTAAAATTAGAATGGTGTTTTCTAATGCTCCTTTTAACACTGTAACAGTCGGCTGGCCCATAAGGTTATAAAAAATACAAAGTTCCTCTTATTTCTTGCCCTTTGCATGAAAGTCACTATGTTAAGTACCCTAACAATACTTGGTCCCCTTGATGAGAATATCTGCATAGCAAAAAAGAAAACCAAGGAAACTAAGGGTTGATAGGGGTTGGTTAGTTCTGTCACATTTCTCCCTAATTATATATTTATATATTCACTATAACATGGGGCCTAGTTGCTAAAACATGGTAACCGGCAGGGAAAGAAAAAAAAAAAAAACAGAGAGAAAGAAAGGGAGGGAGGGAGGGAGGAAGGGAAGATGGAAGGAAGCAAGGAAGGAAGAAAGAAAAGGACCAAAACAAATCAGGTAAGAGTTTTTAATAATTATAGATGTTTCCCATCAGCAGGTTTTCCTCCCTAACTGTTTAACACTGTGAAATTGCCTTTCAATTTTCAGTAAAATTATCTGGTACATAAAAAAGTCCAAAGACCAAATAAGAGAAAGGTGCCAATGACATATATTTGTGGAGAAAGATGTTCAATTTATTACTATTAACTCTATTCCCACTGTGGCCATTCTTCATCATTACTGACATTATTTTCTCAGACATTAGGAAAGTAAACTTTTCTCCCCAAACTCCCTCACCCCAAAGCACACAATAAACAAAAACAGCAACAGCACTTGACACAAGGCAAAGAGAAATGAGGTAGTTTGAAATTAAAAAAAAAAAAAAAATCATTCCAGTATCCCCACCTCCCTCAAGAATTCCTTTGCCATCCCTCAAGCCCAAAGAGAAGCAGAATGAGTTCTCTGAAGTCCATCAATGAAGAGCAAAGGGGAAAAGGGCAAAAGAGAGGGGGTTTTAAGAGAGAAGCCATCCCTGGGCCAACATCCGATCCCTGACAAGTAGCCTCTGGTTCATTCATTCTTCCTTTTAGTACATATTTAGCGAGGGAGCACTTGCTCTGTGCCAGGTATTATGTTCCGCCCTAAATAGTCCTCCAGCGGGCATCCGGTGTGTATTCCAGCAATGAATCCACTACCCAGGCTCAGGACCATGGAACCTACCCACACCGCCTTTGCCAGCACCTGGGCCAGGGGTGGGTCACTGTCCAGGACCCGGAGTCTGAAAAGACTTCTCCCTGGGGTCAGAGGGTCCCTGACCTTGTTCACACTCAGAGCGTCTGCCCTTCCTCAATCAGTCCATCCATCCCCCGGAAAAGTTAAGTTGGCGGCGAGTGGGAAGAGGGGCACCGGGGGCATCCGGCGGGCTCAGCAACCCCGCCCGGGTTTCTCAGCTCTGACTCCCATGGCTACCGAGAAATATTTACTTCCAGTAGACGGGCTCCAGTGGCTACTGAAGCCAACCACAGGGCCACCATCAGAAGGCCAAGTCATCCAAGAGATAAAGATAGATCCATTACATACCTAGACCCGGCCTTACAGTGGCAGCCCCAGGAGATGTGGGTTTAGGCTGAGAAACCACAGCGCAATTCTCCGGCGCGCTGCCGGGAATCTCCTTCCACCCTCCAGGGATGCTGGCTACAGATAAAAACAATTGACCCGGTGAACAGGGGGCGGGGGGGAAAAAAAAGGATCGATACTTACCCCTAGGCGTCTGCTCCGGATCCTCACGTACCCTTGCTTCACTATGTCATTAAAATTGGAAGCCATCCCGGACAGCCAGTGACAACCCCCCTCCTCACCCAGGCGCACGCACCCTAAGTGGCTTTGGGGAGGGCTGAGGCCAGGGTCAAGAGAAGGCTTTGGGGTGCGGAAGGAGAAAGTTGACACGGTGAAGCGTTTACGGCTGCGGTCCGGCGTGGCTTCAGAAGGCGCACATCACTTTCTCTGTCCCCCAAAACCTTTAAGTGGGCGGCCGGTTTGCAGCCACTTTGGGGGAGCGCAGAGAGCGCAGCGCCGTGAGGCGAGGCTGGAGCGCCGGCGTCAGCTGACTCATCAGCCAGCCTGCCCGGAGGAGGAGCGGCGGCTGCTCAGGGATCCAGCCCAGCCTCTTCCCGGGGCCCAGGAGGAGAAGGAGGAGGGGGGAGTGGGGAGGGCGAGGGCGAGGGGAGGAGCCGCGCGGGGCCGGCGCCCGGCGGTGGCCACCCGCAGGCAGACACACGTGGACGCGCTCACCCTCCTCCTCCCCTCCTCTCCCGCCCGCCTCGCCCGCCCCCATTCTCGTCCCGACCCCGACCCTCCTCCGGGACCCAGAGCTTGCCCCTGCCTGCCCCGCACCTCGCCCACACCCGCCGAGATAACGCTTGGTCTCTTAGGGCTCTGGGCTTATTTTAGATGGAGAGGAAATTTCACTTTTTTCCCAGACGCCGCCGACCCCGCCTCTCCCTTCAGACCCATCTTTGCCCTGAGAAGGGCTGGCTTTTGCCTCTGTTGTGCATGTGTCTGGGGAGCGGTGTTGCCATGGTTTGCCTTGACCTTGGCATATGAGGGGAGGGATATTGCCCTGGCTTAAGCTGCATGCTTCCTCGGGTTTCCTTGGCATCCTGGACCCAGCCCTTGCGTTGATATCATTTTCCTTGTTTGAGCTTGTCTTTCCCGCCGGATTGTGAGTTTCCCAGGGGCTGACCCTTGGCCTCATTAGTACGTGTACCAACAAAGCCTGGCCCAGAGCAGGTGCCGAATAAATCCTTAGTGTCAGGCACCCTCTAAGCCCTTAGCTTGGTCTCATTTAAACTCCCCTGTACTTTATGAGCTACCCACCCCCCTTATGTGAATACCAGGACCATATTTATGCCTCCCTAGCCTGGCAATAGAGCTCATGTTCATAGCCATTGCTGGATGCTGCCTATAGAATACGATAAAAGGGAGACCGGATTTCACATTCACCTGCCCCTGGCTGCACTACCTTCCTGAAACATGTCTGAGTTGATAACGGCTATCATTTATTGGCACCAGGCATTAGGCATTGTGCTAATCCTGTTCAAGGAATAATGAGATAGGTACTATCATCCACATTTTATAGAAACTGAAGCTCAGAGGAATTAAGAGATTTGCCCCAGGTCCCACGGGAAAGGAGGTGTGTGTGACACCAGCTCTGGTAAACACTGGATGGTAAACACTGTCCTATACAGTGTTGTCATGGGGGAGGGAGGTTACTAGGTGGTTTCCAAGGAAGATCTGTCTAATCACTTGCACTGTCCACAAAGGCAAAGATGGCATCAGAAATTTGACAATTCTTGTTCACTGGAGGTGACCAAACCAAGGCTGGGTGACCTCTGGTCAGAGCTGTTGAGGAGAGGATTCATTCATTTAGTGGATTCTTTGGCCTGATGACATTCAAAGGCTTTTCAACTCTAAGATTATATGAATCTTTCCTTTCTCACTGGGAACACTAGCTTTTAGTCATCTTGGTTTGATGGGTGTCAGTTAAAGAAGAGAATCACCCAAGAATGTGTCATAGGGGAACTGAGACTAAATTGGGACAATCAAAAAGCAAATCTTCTGGCAGGGAGAACTCTTTTTGTTACATAGTAAACCATTAGCTCTGTCATCATGTTGTCATTCAATGAAAATGATGTTTTAAGTTTAAATCTCTCACCAAAAGAAGATGAAATGATTAAAAATATCATTTGGAGGGTTCTGTTTGAAGGTTCAAAACTTAAAAAAAAAATACTATCCATGGTTGCCATGAAATAGACATGTTCTCAGAAGGCATTTATCCAACACATCATTTGTAGACCAAACCCACAGAATCATAGAAACCAAGAATTAAAGAATTTATGCATAAGGAGCTTGAGTGAATGGCTCAAGGTAACAGAAATAATTACTGACAAAAACTGAGACCGAGGGACTTCCCTGGCAGTCCAGTGGTTAAAACTCCGTGCTTCCAATGTAGGGGGCTCAGGTTCGATCCCTGGTCGGGGAACTGAGATCCCACATGCCACGTGGCGTGGCCAAAAATAAATAAATAAATACATAAATACTGAGACTGAGAAATACATCCTTTGATAATTAATGTTGAGTTCAATCAATATCCATAAATAATTTAGGTAGAAGTGAGCAAACTAGAATCACTCTAGAAAATATCAAACTAGATGTGAAGAAACAAATGCTTTTCTTTTTTAATTGCAAGATTGAATCCAGTGTATGGTTTTGTTGGTTTGTTTTGGGTGAAGTCAAACTGATATACGTGCAAAATACACAAACTGTGCTCTACTATTCAGAGGACAGACAGCCGCTTTACACTTGTCCAAAATATGCATACACAACTGTTGCAGGGGAAAAGGAGTAATTCACAGAGATACACAATGTAAGTAGTGCTTATAGAGTTGTGCAGTGTACAACTCCCACAACTATGCGTGTCAGACAGACACACAGCCACACACAATTTGGTTTCACTAGAGGTAAGTCTGACATAGAAAAATCATTATTTCAATCCCTGTTTTTAACTCAATTTTTAACACTTAGAACTTCATATTTATAGTATCCATTTTTGTTTGCTTCCTTAGCATGCAATTCCTTTCTTCCAATAGTGGTCACCATTGTCATCTGGGGTATAATTATCCCCTGCTCCCAGTACAGGTGTGCAGCCTTGTACATGCCTTCCTTGAAAGATACTGATTGGTTTAGACATGGACACATGACCTAAATTGGCGCATTAAGAGTTAATTACATTACTTTTGCTGAATACTGGGCCAAAGGTTCATACTGTGTTTGGCTGAAATAGAGTCTGGATGCACGGAGCCCAGGAGCTTCGGGAGTGGAGGCTACACAGAAGAAGCAAAGCCAAGAGATAAGGAGAAGCAAACCCAATCCTGATGGTACTGTTTGGACCCCCCTATCCAGTACCCCAGGAACCTATTACATTATAAATACTCGAGAACCTGGTGTAACAATTAGACCCCAAAATGCAATGACTTAGATTGGGTAAAAGTTTACTGATCTCTCATGGAACAATCCAGATGGGCAGATAGGAAGCTCAGTCTCCAAAGGTCATCCAGGGACTCAAGCTGGTGGGTCAGCTGTGGACATGGTGTCCATCCTTGGGTCCAGTTAACCGCCACTTCCCAGGAAGGGAGAAGAGAGCGTGGAGGGAAAACAGCCTCCAAATAAAAAAATTCATCCAGATATTTCAAAGCTCTCTTTCTCTGGCATCCCACTGACCAATATATTGCCACATGGCCACAGCTGTCTCCAAGGGAGAATGCGGAATATAGTCTCCATTCCAACATGGCTCTATTTCTGGAAGAACAAAATTGAATTGGTATTGCATGGGTCAGCTGGTATTTTCTGCCTCCGTGGAGCCACTCTTGGACTGTTTAACTGCACAAGGTAAAAAAATTCCCCTTTTTTCTTAAAACAGCTCAGACTGAGGTATTCTGTCATTTGCAATCAAAGGAGTCCTGTTGAAGGTACCATAGTACAATCTGAACAAGCATCTCAACTAAATTGTATGTAGACACACCTATAAGGCCCAGATTACTTGAGAAAATTCCAAAACTTTTTGTGGCATTTTCCCATAAAGCATAGACAAAGGTGAAAGTGACCTCAGCTCCAAACGGGTCTGATCTCTGTCATTGGGAATCACTACTCTCTCAACTATGAGTGATTCTGGGGGAGTGGGTCGAGACAGCGACTATCTCATTCACCACAGGGCTGGACACCTGATCAAGTCTGGTCAATCAGCACACACCATTCTTGGACATGAAGATTGGCGCGGAAATGGGCACGTGACCTAGAAGATCCAATCAAAATCTTCCCTGAGGTGAACAGATGAACACACTGAGATACACATCTGCATGGCCATATTGTTTGCAAAATGTGAGCCTAGTTGAGAATAAAGCCAAGGAAGGAGAAAGTGGGATGAGAGACAGAGCTAGAGATACAACGATTCCTGAAGCCAGAACTACCTCTTCCACTTCTCAATGACACGATCTACTTTTTTTGTTTTGTCTTGTTTATTTGAGCCCATTTGAATTGGGTAATGAAGAGCATGCTCCCCAGGGCTGGGACTAGGGTGAGGCAAGTGGGGCACTTACAGTGCAAAATTTAAGGGGACACCCACTCTCAAGGCTGCGTGAGTACTGAGCCTCCATTTGCAAGACCCTGAGGGTGAATGCTTCCTTAGATCATCCCTTCTAGGAGCTTCTTGCTTCCTCCAGTCCTGAGCCTGATACTACTGCCTCTCTTAGTCAGCTCAGGCTGCTATAACAAAATACACAGACTGGGTGGCTTAAACAACAGAGGTTTATTTCTCACAGTTTTAGAAGCTGGGAAGTCCAAGATCAAGTGTGTGCAGATTCTTCTTCCTGGCTTGCAGACAGCTGCCTTCTTGCTATGAGCTCACATGCCAGACAGAAAGAGAGGGCTCTGGTCTCTACTTCTCTTCTTATAAGAGCACTAATCCTATTCATGAGGGCCCCACCCTCATGACCTCATCTAAATCTAATCAACTCCCAAAGGGCCCACCTCCAAATACCATCACATTGGGGGGTAGGGTCTCAACATATAAATTTTGGGGGGACACATTCAGTCCATAATGCTATCCTTATTAAAAGCATATTAATTAAAATGAAAGGACTGCCAGTTCAAAATAGAATACATATAACAGTATTCTTCTCCTACTTGGACATCCTCTTGTTATGAAACAAAACTATGTCATGCACTGAAATAGAACTTTATAACCATAGCATCACAAAGGCAGGAATTAGCCCAGAGGCTGCTAGTCCAATACATTCAGAGCAGAAATCCACTCTAGCTTGAAACATGAACAATTCATGCCTTGCTCTCGGCATTCCATTTAGCCTATTACTATTATTATTATTATTATTCTTTAGTTCTTCAGAACAGAAAATGCAGAGGCAACTGCACTTTTGCAGAGCAGGTGCCCAAGCTTCAGCAAAGGATGTTGTACTTTCACCAAGTACCACAAAGTACCAGGGCAGAGGCTGAAATGGCCCTTGTCCAAAATCTTTACCAAAAATAACTTGAGCTTTGGCCCCGTCGCCTGCTGCTCTCAGTGGGAGTGTCACAGAAACATAAGCAGCCTTTCCTCTGGCAAGGTGACACAGCGCTAAT